AGCTTTGCTGCCGTGTTTGTTACCCGATGAAGCCCGTTGCGGGGGGGCTGGGCAGACAGCCTTGCCAAAGAGGCCCGTGCTACAGCAGGATTGACAGCACGACTCCTTTTGTTTCTCCTTGAGCTCTGGCCAGGCTTCGGGGAGAAAACTGAGAGGAGAAAGAGGGCACCGGCTGTTCCCCGTCGATTGGTTTATTCCGTGTTAGAAGGGCTGGAGCTGCTTGCAGCGGCTCTGGACGCCTCACCCGTGGGATGGATGCATTGCTGATGGATGCAACTTCCCCGTGGCTGGGAGAGGTTCTCCAGATCCTCATTGCAAACGGGCTCCCCAGTGACTGCGGCTCTGGGTGATGGTTAAATACTGGGGTAATTGGTGACGTACCTTCCTTCATCGCTGCGCTCACGTGGCAAGGAGCAGGCCCACTGCCTTGCTTACTGCCTTTACTGCTAGCTTCTCCTTTGGCTACAGACGCTGCCACTATTATTGTTTCTACTATTTTGTCGTAGGCAGTAAAATAAGCCTATCTCAAAGATGTTGGTGTCTTTGTTCTCCCTGTTGAGCCCATCGATTGGCACAACAGCATCAGCACGTGATGGGCACGTAACTTGGACGTCAGCAACGTGACTTGAAAGGCCAGCATCGGGAACGTCTCCTTTGGAGAGAGACTGAGAGGTTTGGGCTCGTTGAGCCTGGAGAACAGAAGGCTCTGGGGAGACCACGTGGCTGCCTTTCAGCACATGGGGCCTCAACAGATCACCCAGTTCCAACCCCCTGCTGCGGCCAACAGCGAGATCAGGCTCCCGGTCAGGTTGCCCAGGGTGCCATCCAGCCTGAACTTGAACACCCCTAAGGACAGGGTATGCACAGCATCTCTGGGCAGCCTGTGCCAGCAACTCACCAGCTTCTAAGTGAAAAACTTCCCCTGGTCGGGTTTATTTTTCTGATGTGTGTGGGTGAGGTTTCTTTGCTCTGAAGTGCCTACAACTCGCAGAACTTGGTAGAAAAGCATTTCTGGAACTTGGAAACCCTGCTCGAAAGGCAACAGAGCATCTCCAAAGGCACCAGGTGTGCCTGCGTATGCCGGATGACGGGAATCCTTCTGCAGCCTCTCTTGCCAGCGTCTGTTGCCTCCACGGCACCTGCTGGCATCTCGTCTGCCTGCAGATACCGCAATGTAACACTCAGTCTATGGGAGAGTCGGCACTGAGCAACATTCGTGTGGGCCCCAGCAGAAAGAGTGCCGTGTGATGCATGGCAGGCACGGTGCAGGGCTGCCTGCCTCTCGCGCTCACCACCCAGCCTCTGTTGAGCTGAATTCAGCCTGTGTGACACGTGGCAGGTTCTTGTGCCATTTGCCGAGTAAACCACAGCGACTGTCGATAATGATATTTCAAGCTCGTGAGGTGTGTGTGCCTGAGAATGCACAGGGTTTTGTTTATTTAGCAGACGTGAAACAACTTCTCTTAATAAACCATTACAGTTAGGCTTGCGTTCTTTTGTAAAATAATTTAGTAAGTTAACTGGAACTCCTCCTGGAACAGGAACTCCCCTCTCTGTGCCGGTGACCTAACAGAGCTCCAGGTGACACGGGCTGATGTCACAATGCCTAACAGAGCTCCAGGTGACACGGGCTGATGTCACAATGCCATTAGCTGCCTCACAAGCAGATCTTCCCCGGGGCAGCGGCAGTGCCGGCACTTCCCTGCAAGGCCTGGGTGCTGCTGCAGCACTGCTCAGGGGCTCTGTCCTTCTGCGGCCAGGAGTTGGCTCTGGTGCAGCCAGTCTGCACTGGGTGACCCTTGCTGACGCGTGGAGGAGCAGGGACACTTTGCAGAGAATTGTTGGTTGGTTGAGGAGCCTTGTTGGTGGAGGCCATCCTTAGTTCTGAGCTGAGGGCTGTCGGCAAGCCACATGGAAGGCTGCTGGACTGTGAGCGTCAGCTCGGAGCTGGCCTCCGCGTTCCCAACGCTGCTGGAACTCTCTGCCGAAGGTAAGGCTTTCCAGACCCCCTTCCCAAGGCATCGCACGGGGCTGTTAGCTGTTAGTCCAAAGCCGCAGCTCCTGCCCTCTGTGCTTGGCTGGACGTGGCTGGGAGCCGCTGCAAGAGCCCCGCCAAAGGGTCCCACTGGGCTCTGGGGACCACATGGCAGCCAGGTCCTGGGAGTAGAGCTGCCCAGAGCCCCCAGGTTCTGTGATAGGGCAGTCCAAGGCCAGGTTTCCCTGGGAGAGGGTGTTTCTGTAGATTCCAGCTCTGGGAGGAAAGGCATCCCGTTTCCCAGAGGCTTCCTATGTCCCCATTTCCCCTTGGGGATCTGAATAAGGCTGAAATCGGAGCAAAGCCCAGCTCCATAGCCATGGTGGTGTTTTTCTGCGTGTGCACGTATCGATCACTGTCTGTGTGAGGAGCTTGCCAAGAGGTTGTGAAGAGGCTGGCCTGGAGCCTGACATATCTTTTCTTTCCTTTGCAGAGATTGTGGCGGTCTGGGATGCTGTGTCTGAGTACATCCTGGAACAGATGAAGCTGGACAAGGTGGGCTGGTGTCCCAGTGGCCCTCGCCCTGGAGAGGGGTTCAGTGCTGCCGGGAGCCTTGGCCCTGCAGAGCATTCCCTCCCTGAGCACCACAGCAGCATGCTGAGCCCAAGCCGGGTACCCAGAGCGGCTTGTTGGCCAACTGGGAGGGAAACCCATGGCCAGAGCTGCCCTGAGCAAATGTTTGGCACACGCAGGGGCTTCGCTCTGCCCTGCGGTCAGAACAGGGAGAGCAAAGGGAGAAATGGGTGGGGGGTTTTCTGGCTGTGCCAAGGATAATCCGTGGCAATCAGTCCCAGGCTTAAGCCCTGTGCTGTCCATGCCCGGGCTCTTCTCTAGCCAAGGGATGTTGGGAAATACTGTATGGAGATGACTGTATAGCAGGGACCACAGATGTTTTCTAAAGCTTTCCAGAGAGACCCATCTCGCCCCCCTGTCCGTCAGGAGTGGGGAGAGCAGTGACACCACGCTCCTGATGTTCGTGGCTTTTGCCGCCCCTAAAGTACATGCTCATCAGCCTGTCTTTTCCCTGTGCAGGGCGTCCTGGTTCCGGAACTCGGGATCTTTGCTGGGGTCCGAGAGCAACTCCACAGCAAAGAAGAGGCGCTTCCAGTCCGAAGACCCGTCTTCGAACTGGATATCAGGGCGCTGTGGCTGCCAGACCTCCAGTCTCCCAGCGACATCATCCCTGGTAAGAAGGCAGCAGCCACCTTCCCCTTCCTGCCCCACGTCCGGCCGGCTGTGTTCTTTAAAGGACCTTTTCTGTGGATTTGGTTATGAATGCTGCATGGGCTGGCTGTGGCAGTGAGGATGTGACTTCTCCTTGCAGACAGCATCAAGATTGAGCCGCTCAACTACCGGCAGCTCTCGCGAGCCTCTGGCGTCCCGCTGCACTTGGTGCCGCGCTGCGTGCGGGAGAGCGTCCTCTTCTACTGTCACCTCCTGAGGAACAAGACGCCCGTCCCGTTCGTGTTCAAGAACCTCGGCGTTATGACCTGCCAAGACAACTTCCTCTGCATGAGGTTCTTCTGCAGCTGCGTTGAAACGCTGGAGAGCAATGCCCCCGTCCTCGCACTGATCCACACCGTAAGTTGAGGAGGTTGTGAGGTGCACCATCGGATCACTGCTGGCCAGCCTGGATGTGGCAGGCCAGTCAAATGCCTTTCCCCACGCTTGCCCCCATGGCTTTCTCCACGGGCAAAGGGATTTCCTGGATCTCTGCCCCTGCCTGGCAGTGCTCTTGCACGGCCTCACTATTTTGCCATCCTGCTCCTTCAGAGCAGAACAAAGCTCTGATGTTCACAGACGAGGCTTTGGTGGAGAGCAGCTTTCTCTTGGCACAGGAGCCAGGTTTGCTTCCTGTCAACAAGAGCCATGAAGAAATGGCCTTGGCTAGCCTCCAGCAGGTCTGTGTCCCTTTGCAGAGATTCTGGACGGAAGATCTTGCTGACTTCGGGCCAGAGACCACCGCCCGTGGGATCCGCTTGTTCCCGAGGTGAGTGCGTTTCCTCTGCAGCTCTTAGCTGGCCAGCAGACAGGCTTCCTTCCCACCTCCTCCTCTGGGACATGCCCTGCTGGGTCTCTGTGCTCAGCATCTAGCTGGGGAAAAATCCTGGAAAGTCTGGCTCCTGGTTAACTACTGCTGCTTTTCGGCTGTGTGTGTCTTCTCCCGGAGCGATGGGGGATCGCGGTTGTGTTACTGGTGCCCAAGCTGTCCCGATTCCCCTCAGAGGGAACGGACTGCACATGCAGAGGAATTTAGGCTACATGTGCTGGTTTGGCATGGCCAGGAAGGAAAAGGGTGCCACGCTTTGCATAGCACAGAGATAAATACCGCTGACCAGTTGCGTGGGGTAGGAGGTCATCCTTCTTCAAGGGTTGTCACTCTCTGTTTCCAGGTTTCAGCTCACTGTGGAAAAGAGCAGAGCAGAGGCTGCTGCAGACAAGAAATCCGCAACAGAGCGGAAGATGAGTAGAGGTGAGGGAGCGGGTCCCAGCTGTGGGGAGGGGGGCCCTGTCCTGTGCCGGGTGACCGGATCCAGGTTCACGTGCCGTGCCCGTGGGGCTGCTCTGAAGAATTTCTTTCTCTCTTGGTTGCAGGAGTCTCTGCCGGCAGGCTGCTGCCAAAGCGGAAGACACTTACCCCCCCCATGCTGCTGCAGCACGAGCCAGGCTCAAGGCAGCAAAAGTTGGCAAAGGAGCCTCCTACCAGGTGAGGGCCTTCAGCAAAAAGAAGGAGATGCGTGCGCTCGTGTAGGAGCGGCCTCCCCTTCGGAGCTGCCAGCTCTCGGCACCCAGAAAGGCTCCTGACACACGTGTGTCCCAGGGGGGCTGTTCTCTCCAGGGACGGCAAGCGCGCAGCACGATTTCCCGAGGCAGACACACCAGCTTCATGTTCTACCCTGGTCCCCGGTCCCTGGGGGAGCTGAGTGCTGATCCCTATTGATGGCAGAAGCTCTTCTCCCTTCAGGCATCTCTCCAGGCGTCTTGCGCCAGAGCCCATCTTTACGGTTGTGGGAGCACGGGGAGACCAAGGTGCCCCGGGCTCCTGCAGACTCCTCTTGTGTCTGTTTGCAGCGTGCTCCCACCGTGTGCAGGCAGCTTCCGCAGGACAAAGACAGGAGAACAGAAGGAGGCGTCTACTGCACAGACCAGCACTGCACTCCCTGCCACCGAGGAATCTAAGAGAGTGCTGCAGGTACTGGCTCTGCCTTGCTGCAGGGACTGTGCTGCTTGAGATTGCACCAATGACAGAATGGTAGAATCATAGAAAAGTTTGGCTTGGAAAGGACCGTTCTGATCACCTGGTTCCAATCCCCTGCTGCAGGCAGAGACACCTGTCTCTAGACCAGGTTGCTCTAAGCCCAACCCAGCCTGGCCTTGAGTGCTTCCACAGGGAGGGAAGCAAAAGCCTCTGTGTGTGCAGTGATCTGGAGCACAGCCCTTCGGGTGCCATCATTTCACATTTCTGTCCGCTCCTTCAGCTCCTCTTCGGTAGATGGGGGGTGCTGCACACCTTCCCTGTCTCTTCTCACCTCCTGGCCTGCCACCTGCCACAGCACACACAGGGGCTGTGAGAGAGGAATACGGCCTCTGTTTGCCACGAGTTGTGGATCACTGGCTTTGGGGCTCCTGGTCCTTCAGGGGCAAAGCAGTGCTGACAGGCCGGCAGAGGAGAGGAGCGGGAGCAGGGAGCTGAAGGAAGGCCCCAGGGACTGAGGCTGATCCTGTATGCTGCTGTGTCTCTGCAGGAGCTCCGGGAAGTGTCTGCACTGTGGAAAGAAGCAGACCACACATGGCCTGTGCACCAGCAGCAAATAGAGCAAACACAGGCAGAAATGGCAGCATGGGAAGGCTGGAGCGTAGGGAAGGACCAGCGTCCGCCCCAGGTACCGTCAGGGATCGACCCTGCTGGCAACAGGCTCAGCAGGGCGCAGGGGGTGGGAGCGGGACAGGCGCCGCGCAGCATGGCAGGGGCTGGCCCGCTCCTCCCCGGGAGGAGAGCTTGGCACGGCCCCGCAGGGAGAAGGGAAGGGCGGTGGGAGCCGTGGGCCGGAGGGCTGAGTCTCCTGCTTGCCGGGGCCTGCTGCAGGGCCCTTGGCAGAGGGCCTCGGGGGAACAGCCCCGTGCTCCCAGCCGCTTTGCTGACAGCGTCTCCTCTTTGGCAGCTGTTGGCCAGGGAGAGCGTGCGTGTTCCGCATCCTCCAGCCCAGCCCAGGAGACAGCAAGTGGGAAGGAGATGGAGGAAGGACGTGGATCCTGTGCCAGGAAGTAAAATGGGGACGGCGACCAAGCTGGCACTGCATGCTGAGTGAGTGTGTGCGGGCTCTGCCAGCTGCCCGAGGCTCTTGGGCAGCTGTGACTCTGCAGCTCGGGGACAGGCACGGCCCGGGACAAAAACTGCTGGTGGGGTGCACGGCTGGGGACACACAGGGGGCAGCACGGGGTGCGGGGCCGGGTGAGGGCAGAGGCAGGGGCGGCTCGGTGGATCCCGAGGGATGACTTTCTCCTCCTGTTGCAGCCTCCTTTCCCACCGAGCGGCTCAGGTGCTCCAGAAGTTGGAGCTGCACCTCCATCAGCAAGAGGCTTTTGCCAGCACTGTGGAAAGAAACCGGCAGAAGCTGGAGCTGAAGCGGCAGCTTCCCAGGTGAGCTCCATAGGCAGCAGATCCCGAGAGCCGGGCTGGAGCCCAGCCTTGCCTTGCCTTGCCTGCGCTCAGCCCGTAACGCTCCGCGCTCTGCTCTTCTCACCTCCCTAGGGCTCGATGCTCGCACCGCTCCAGAGAGGAAGGTGCAGCCAACCGTGGTGACCGCGGTGGAGCTGTCGGCAAGGGGGCTGGGAAGCCGTCCAGATTTCCACCTGTGAATGGAAGATCATAGAATCAAAGACTGGTGGGATGGCCTGGGTTGAAAAGGACCTTGAAGATCGTCTGGTTTCAACCCCCTTGCTGTGTGTGGGGTCACCGACCAGCAGACTGGGCTGCCCAGAACCACATCCAGCCTGGCCTTGAATGCCTCCAAGGGCATCCACCACCTCTCGGCCAGCTGTTCCAGCACGTCACCACCCTCCTTGTGAAGAACTCCTGCTAACATCGAACCAGATTATCCCCCCTTTCACAGTTAAAACCACTCCCCCTTATCCTACCACTATCCAGCCTCGTCAACGGCTGTTTCCCCTCCAGTTTATATCCTCCTTTCAAGAATTGGAAGGCCACAATGAGGTCTGCCCGGAGCCTTCTCCTCACCAAGCTAAACAAGCCTGGTTCTCTCCACCTTTCTTCACACGAGAGGTGCTCCAGCCCTCTGATCATCTTAGTGGCCCTCCTCTTGATCCAAGAGCTCTGCGCCTTTCTTTTACCGGGGGTTCCAGCTCTGTATGCAGTACTTCCAATAAAAATTAATTGGCTTTATTTCCACTCAGTCTGCTGGTCAGTTTGCAGATTCAGAGAGCCACACCTGAAGAGTTAAATAAAAACATAACCCAGTTAAATGAAAAAATAAACCCACTAAATTAGCCCATTAAATAATTAACCCATTAAATAAAAAAAATAACCCAACACAGCCACATAATTTAAACTGACCTTGAAAGCTATCAGTGTCTAACTACTGTTATTTTAGAGTGGTGGATCTCATTAGCAGCCACTAATTTACTCGGCCAGCCGTTATAAACCTGAATTTTTCGTAATTGCACGTGGGCTGATCCAAAAGTAATGCCTCCTATTTTATAAAGCTGGCCCACAACATCACAGGTGGACGCTGGTGGGATGAC